ATTCCCAGAAGCCCACGGCCACGGCCCGAAGAACGCGTGGCATCACTGGCCACTTCCTTATCCGGGAGTGGCGGGGGCGGGGGCGAGGGCGGGGAGGGGGAGGATCGGGAGCTCCGAGCGCATGCGCTGACTGAACTGGGCCTTCGGAAACTACAATTCCCGGCGTGCTCTGGATCCCAGTCGAAGAGGGCGCCAGGTGGGGAGGTGGGTCGCCCCTGAGATGTTGTTTACACCAGAAGATACAGCTGCTTAAACCTCCCTGAGTAGTCGGATTCTGTCGGAGTGGCTGTAATTGACCGCCCTCCATCTTTACCCTGGCCTTGGGGCTTTCAGCTGGCGGAAAACTTTTCTCTTGAACGGAAAAAGTACTTAATTAAAAACTCTTGGGGTCGGGAAGGATGAGGGAGTTTTGCAGAAAGGGCTGGAATGGAGAAAGCACTCTTCTAAATTGCTGAAGCCCTGCAGAAGATAAATCGAACACCTATTATACTAGTGCTTTATAATTGACAACGTGCTTTCCCTGAGCAGGCTGATTTTTACCTTCAGGACAGCTCTGTAAAGTAGATTTTATTAAGGAAAGTAGTTGAGAACCAGGACTTCTGACTTCTGACTTCTCTTAGTTTTCCAATAAGAAATAGATTTCAAAATTGGTGTGGCCCTAACCGGTTTGGCTCAGTGGATAGAGCGTTGGCCTGTGGACTGAAGGGTCCCAGGTTCGATTCTGATCAAGGGCATGTACCTGGGTTGCGGGCACATCCCCAGTAGGGTGTGTGCAGGAGGCAGCTGGTGGATGTTTCTCATTGATGTTTCTAGCTCTCTATCCCTCTCCCTTCCTCTCTGTAAAAAATCAAAATATATTTAGATGTTGCCCTAGCTGGTTTGGCGCACTGGATAGAGCATCGGCCTGGGGACTGAAGGGTCCCAGGTTCGATGCAGGTCAAGGGCATGTACGTTGGTTGGGGGCACATCCCCAGTGGGGAGTGTGCAGGAGGCGGCTGGTCGATGTTTCTCTCTCATCGATGTTTCTAACTCTCTACCCCTCTCCCTTCTTTGCTGTAAAATCAATAAAATATATATTTTAAAAAAATAAAATAAAAAAATTAAAATAAATTGGTGTGGAAGAGGGGTGTCTGTCTGAGATTGACAAATATATTGATTGCTTGGGACCACACAATCCTTATACAACCCTTTAACTTAACTAATCCCTCTACATTACTAATAATATCTAATATTTAATAGCATTTATTAAGTGCAATTCTCCAAGGTCAAATTACTCTCTCTGTGTCTCAGTGTTCTCAGTTGTAAAACAGGGAAAATGTGTGTACATATGTAAAAACTAAAAATACATATACATTTATGATTTGTGTGATTTATAATATGTTTGATACACCTCAATTTTTTAAAAAATTCTAAAAGTATAGAAAAATAATATATCTAAATACTTTTATTGTGCTGCCATTTGAAAAGTGTGATTTAATTGTATTTATTTGTCCACTAGGGGCCCAGTGCACAAATTCGTGCACCTTGAAAGGAATTGTGGGCCCCACTAACAGTTCCGGGTGCCTCCTGTCCTGAGGCACGAGGACCCACACGGGACTGCTCCTGGCACTGCCTGACGGGCGAGTTCCTGACAGCCAGGAGCTGGGAGGTTGGTTACAAGGCGTTCGAGTCCCCGCGGATAGGGTGGCGGGATGGGTTCTCACCTCCTCGCTCAGGCTCGGACGGGGCAGCCCGGCGCTCACCTTGGCGGAGGAAAGCCCCCCAGGCGCAGGCCCTGGATGTTTGTGTCTGCGCAGCCATCATCCCAGATGATCCTCGGGATACAGGCTCGTGCTCGAGGTCGACGGGTCGTAGGGGTCGCAGGGGCCGAAGGCAGCGGAGCTGTAGCGGGAGTCGAAGCCGACATCGGAGCGGGGAGCCATGGGCAGCAAAACCGGTGGTGCCTGGATGACAAAGGGCAACGGTGGGGGAGAACACACGAGCGCGCCAAATATCCTGGAAGCACAGTCGCTGTTTCTAGAAAGGCAGGGCAGAACGCTCAGCGTCAAAACCTAGCAACGATTCCAACCGCTCCGCTGCAAACCGCGCATGCATGCTCAGCATGTGTGTGCTGCAACAGTCGCTTGACG